CATTTATGTACCAAACAAATATTTAGATTTCTCAAGACCAACATCGGATAAGGAAACTGGATCAATAAGCAAAAGTGTGCTTCAAAACGCAGCACAAAACTCTCAGAAATTTTAGAGAATATAAACAACCTATGAAATGAAACTTATATTTGGAGAAGAATTATCTTATTCTAAACAGTTAATGCTAAAGGATTCAAGGAATACATTTAATTGCCATCTATACTTGTAACACCTGTAGGGCTGTCACGGTTCCAAAATTTTTCAGGTCGGTTCGGTTCTGATTTTTTGAGGTTCGGTTTCGGGTTTCTCGGGTCGGGTAGGTAATGGAAGAAAAGCTCATGATTTGTATTATTTTCAGCAATAAAAAGAATATTCTCATTTAATCTTAGAAATTGCAACATTATAACTAGTTTAAAGTAGCCTCCTGATTAGACAACAATTGTACCAAATTATTTAAATCACCTTAGAATGACAATGTACTAACCAATCTCTCCTTTTTGATGCCATTTTTATAGTGACATCTACTCTATTATACAAATCGGAACCGAACCGAATTCCAGAAAAACGGAACCGTACCCGACCTGAATTAATTGTTCCGCGGTTCCGGGTCATTTCGGGTACCCGTGACAGCCCTAGTACAAAAGTCTTCCTTCTGAGACAGTTTTAATATTACTTTGTTCTAGTCTAATTCATCATAAAGGTTTGAATTATAAAAACATTTATCATGGTATAAACACATTTCAACAGCTAAATAAAATGGTCAAAAATGCAGCTCATTTTGCTTTAAAGCCATATATGGCGTTACTGATCAAAAAAATATATTTTTGAAAAGTGCATAATTAATTAAAGAAATATACTTAAAACATTCAAATTAAAACTTTTCATACAATTCTGAACACGGAGAACACCTCGTTTCATCAAATAATACGTTTATCTTCTCTGTAATGTGTTTATTTAAATCTTTTGTATTTTCTTCCGAGTCAGAGAAAATTCTGAGGATCCAAATTAAATTGTGATATATTTATAACGCAATTGACTTAGATTTTGTTATTTACGGAAAAGTTCTATCTTTATATAAAATAATGATACAAATAACTTCTTATAATTCTAGTCTAATAATTTCACATACATACGCCATATATGGCTTTAAGGAAAGTCCATACTTTTACAGATCTGGTTTTAATTTTACACACCAATAAAGGAAAATTAATTATCATTTCTTTACAGAAATAATATATTTTTGGATGATTGATAATCATGCATGTAGCAGGTACATATTTGTTTATTATAGTGTCATACAAGCATTTGATTTACATTTGTTATACATTTGATGTAATGGAAATTAACACTTTGTACTCTGTTCATTGGATCTATATGTCACAAAGAACATGCAAACAAAGACACATGATTCTTAATTGCCTTTATGGACATAAAGCTTTTTAATGTTTTTAAAAAAAAAAACAAACTAGAGATCTATTTTTGTTGATTTTAAGCATGTTTCTCCTTTTGAAATTTTATTTTTTAAAATTTTTGCAAAAAATGATTGAAAAATTTCATATTCCGAAATAGTGGGTATGTTTGTTCTAAAGGCTGTTTTGTTATTTTTTTCTGGTCAACAATAATAAAATATGTGTTTTTGTTAACCTTAGATATTATACAATTATTGTTGTTTTTTTTAGGTCAGTACAATGATTTAGCCATCTGACCGAGCCGAAGGGCGAGGTGAATATTGTACTTCGAAGATGGCTAAATCATTGTATTGACCGAAAACCCCCCAGCAATAATTGTTTTATTGTATGATTCACTGCAGATAATATGTTACATCTCATTACTTGTTAACTTGCATTTTAAAAAAAGTCCTGGCCAAATACTAGAGAGAAGAGAAACAGAATTAAAATGTGAATAATCGTTACCAGTTGTATCAATTTGAAATGGTTTTCTTATATCAATTTTAGATGTCATGAAAAAAATAATATAATGTCAGTATTTTTATAGGATAGATTTTTAAAGAAAGGAGTATTATCAGGAAAAACTGAAAGCCAAAAAGTAAAAAACATGTTGTTCAGTAAAAGTGTTAGAGGGGTTGGCATTCCCCTCTTACCACCCTCACCCTAAAATATATGTATTTGCTTATGTTTTTTTTCGCATGAAAAAAATTCACAGTTGTTTAAATAGCTTTCCAAAACAATTTATATCAATTTGGAATTTCCCAATCTATTTTTAGATCAATGTAGAGGAAATAAATCCTTGTATTGACATAGAATATCACATGCAAGTCAATACAATGTACCAGTAGTATTTTTCTATCATAGTTGGATCTCAGCCAATCAGAGAGATGGAAATCTCTGCTTCATATTCATTGAATATATCAGAGAATCCTGTACAAACAGGTATAAACCTGCACACACAAAGCAACTTACTGGCTTTATAATATCAGGAGCTATGTAGAAAATTCTTCCCATCTATGAGGGGTGATCAAAAAATTCCCGAACTATCTTTATATCACAAAACCTCATTTCAAATTGGAAAACAATTAGGTACACACATAGCCATACACAAGTTCTATAAATAGCAAATACTGAATAAAGTTTGCTCTGTTTGTGACGTCACAATGTGAAAATGACGTCACTATGTAGGTCACTTGTGACGAAAATGGCTGTCTCAGTTGTACTCGTTTAAAAATGGACTGTAAAATTTATTGTAAATCTTACAAATCACTTAAAAGTAATGTATAATAATTTGAACACAGTTTACTAAGACAAATGACTTCCTATAACTTTAATCAATGATTACATTGATCGTTTTAGTGAAGGAAGGCAAAGGATTAAAAATGATACATGTCAGGTTGCTCAGTGAAAGCAAATTTGAAAATATAAGTGTTTTTAATTAAGCAATTTGCTATCAAAGACCTCCAATTTACACTTTGAAAAAAGTTAACTATTTGAACAATAATATAATTATTTAATATCTAAGATATCGTTTACTTTTGATTTCAAACATATTAGATATGATAAAAAGGAGGCAACCATTCTCTATCCACCTTGAATAAACGTCTATCCCGAGACAGAAGATTTGTGTTTTAATGGTCGCCATGCTTATTTTTGGAAAGGATTTTTTATCTACCCATTCTGTTGCCGAGATTTGACAATTTCTGACAAATGAACTGTTCTTGTTATAAAAATTAACTTACATGGAAAGAAATAAACACTCAGAAAAATCTTTCAGCTTTTCTGACACTACGGAGGGGGTCACGTGACCGCCAATATCACGTGATTCACACATGCGCAGAACGGTGGCTGATGTGTATTAAAATCGGAGAGGACTAATTGAAAGTAAAATCAACACTGAAACCAAATATTGTTTTTTTTATGGAAGTTATTCAATTAGATCGCGAACTTTTTGATCACCCCTCGTAGATACTAATTCCAACTATTCATATTAATAAAATGAACATTTAGTTATCATTTTTCTGCTTCCTCTCTGTACCTGACATTCTCTTCCTGTGTTGTCTGTACATTTTACGATGACAGTATTGTATTGGTCCGTGACCTTTACCCACGTGACAACAAGGGCAAACTTTGGGTCAAAGCCACTAACTCCAGCTATGGATTCTGTGACGTTTCTCCCGATAGATTCCAGTTCTCTTCGTTGCCCCCGTACCCCTTTCTTTAACACATTGTAGAAAATTTTCCCTTGGTATGATTTACCCCCAACTAGAGTAGATTTAAGATCTGCACCCCCATAATAAAACGGTGCAACAAAAGGGTAGTCCTCTGCTGCATTGACACTCTTCTCGTCCCGGACTGTGAATTTCCGGCTCGTGACGTAACGAGCGTATTCTGAGAACGCCACAAAGCCATCTTTTGAAACCTGTCATATGAATTAAATAAATTCAATTCCTGACCGTAATCGAAAATGACAGGAACTGTCCCTTTTTACCCGAAAACTATCCAATATTTATTATATTACTGTAACAATAGTTCTTTAAGCATCCGTTAACTATATATATCTTAAAATCATAATTTTTACATTATGATCATTGCAGACGCAGGCTAAAAAGTCTTTGCAGGGACAGAGTTGTTTAAATATTACAGTGACATAATCATATTGGGTCCAACTTGAATCAAAGCTTCATTTGTGTATCCAAATAGCTTTTTTCCAAAGGCGCAGGCCCTTAACAGCTGCTTAAGGTTAAAGAGAATGAAGAAAGAAGAGGAGTTTTGCAAAAATAATTAAACAAACTTACATATAGATTTTTGTAATTTTGACCAAAATATGGATATGTCAAACCATCTGGTAGTGAGATTTTGGTTAATGGATAATTAACCTGAACTTCATCGCTTCCCTGAGAGAATAGCACTTCACCTGCCAATAATATATGTAGATAGAGGTAAAATTTACATAATGTTCTTGAAAGCTCACGTAACAAACTTAGAATGAGATTGTTTCAGTGCTTTTTAAATGTTGAAATGTTTTTAGTTATAAAGTTATTTTTTATTTTAACATTTAAAAGTTATAAAATGGGACATATCACTATAACTGAACATAATTCTCAGTAAAACGCATAAATATTAAAAACAAGCTTAAAGCAATTACTCGGGAATAACTAAAGTCGTTTTGATGATAGAATTCTTTGATATCTTTGTAATTTTTTTATTTATTTGATTCCCTACTTCTGTATGAAAATTATTACTTCAGTTTACACACGAATCCGCTCTATGTGTGTTCCCTACAATCAGGTTTTACTGAATTTTATGATTTACTGCAAAAGTGTAGGAATGCACCTGTCCAGAAACCGTAATATGTAACTACAATTGGAATGTAAGCGATTTTTAATTAGTATTGTTCATCATTGTCATACGATCTTGGAATCTTTTTTTCTGTTTTTAAAAATGGCAAGTCTTTCAAATGACGAATAAATGGGTCTACATCATAAATATACTACTTAAAACTTCAAACAGTCGAGTAAAAGAAAGCTTGTCAATAAATCCAAATTCCTGTCAGTCGATCATAAATCGTTCACTGGAACTCTATAAATATAAAATCCAAAGTACAGTTTTTGTTTGATTTCTACAAATATTTATTATTCTATCTCTTTCCTGTAAGGAAAAAGTAGAGATGTTTCCTTGAAAAACAGAGCTTTGCAATAAATGTTTTTCAAATGTATTTTTAAATATACGATATTTTATGTATACATTATAATACAGAAATTGTCTTCTTATTAGATGATACCGAACTTAGGATGAGGGAATAGAAAGTTACCTTATACGAAAAGCAACGCACATGTACATTGTACTACAAACAACGCAATTCTCATGTATTTCAATCAATATCCATTTAAAGAGTTCATTGCATTCACAAAAATATTTTTCTTAGAAATAAATTACCAACAAGAAAATGTAAACAAAGCAGTGTTCATTCAGAAAGTTTTGAAATGTAAAAATTAATCAACAGCATTTTGACAATTAATTCCTAAAATAAGATCAACATAAAAATTTCCAGATTTACGGTATGACTTCAGGGCTTATGAAAATATTTAGTGCTCTGAAGTATGCTGATATCCCCCTGTTTAAGACCATTAATTCTTTATTTCAAATTTGATTTTGGGGACAAATATTGGTCATTCAAAATTATACTAGTAGCCCTTATTTTGGCATGAAGTAAAGATGTAATCATTAAGCGGGGTCCGATATTCTGATTCAATCAATAAATGTACATGCAGAAACTAATTCAAAAATTCTCTAAGTTGCTACTGAATACTGATAAAGCCTTATTTCATATCTATATACAAAAAAAACATACATGTGAATATATATACATTTTATTGGGGGGGGGCATTAGTGTTCAATTATACAACTTGCAATATCACACAATTTCCTTTACTTTTAAGGAACTTACCCTTCCATGACTGGCAGACAAAAACTGCAAGGCAGAAATAAAAGCTTTCACTGACATTCCAGCTTTCTCTAACTTTAAATAATCAAAAAGGCACAACAGGTCCTCACTGAAGAGATACATTCCTTGAAATAAAAAAAACAAAATATTATTTACAATATTAAATAAATCTTGCAATGGTATACAAGATCATGTTTGAGGCTAAAACCACATACATGTACAGTGTAATTACCAGTAGTAATATTTAATATGTCTATTATTTACATGTATATATTGATATATACCGGTATATATATACATATATATATTATGTACTCCTTTTGTTGCATGGTCATGAAACCATAATAAAATGCATTCTTACTTACAAATTTAAATGCAAAACTTAATTACCATCATGAATTCTTGGACTCCCAGGCCACAAGCCTCTTTTGATTAAGTCTTCAAGTTTAGGAGAGATATCTTTCGCACAATCCATGCATTCAATATTAGGCAAAAGAACATCATATCTACCTGAAATATAAACTTCAAATTAAACTACAAAAAATACAATTGTATGAATTAAGCCATCTTTACAAATATCTTTGCTTGCCCTATACCAACTCAGAATTTTAAAAAATGGGTAGTAAGGTATGGACAATTTTTTTTTATCAAATAACACCTGCAAATTGGTAATTATTAAAGTTATTTTAAAATGAAATAAGAAAGTGTTTCTTGGAAGTCAAAAAATTTTTGAGTCTGGACATTTTATTCATTTATCATGTTCATGCAAACCAATTTATACAAACAAAATTTTGTGTAAAAAGTCAGGTTAAGGGAAAGGACATGCTAAAACAATGTTTATGAACTTGATAGTTTTTTTCAATATAGACCATAGGGTATTTTAAAAAAAAGGAATAGTTTCTTGGAAAATGGCTAGTTACTACAGATCAATTTAAAAAAAATAATGCAATTGAATACCTCTCATCAATGTGCTTTATAAAAAAAAATTCTTTGAAACTGAGAACAATGCAAACTGAGACAGAGGAATGGAAGCACAAATGACAGTTACACCAGACAGTTACAGTCCTAACTGAATTAAAACAAGAAAAAATGACACTCTCATGGATTTACAGATTGAATACCTTTCTCTGTTATCACAACAACTTTACATCTTTTGGTAAAATCAAAATGAGCTGACCCACAGTCACACCGAGTAAATACTGGAGGATACCTCTCTGAAATATTAAGAATATGTAACATGTACAGTACACTACAGTAATCTACACAACTTAAAAAATACATCTAAACTGCATTATAAGTCACATTTTTTTTTATATATTTCCATTTACTAATTTTAACTTTGTAATATTTTTTTAAAATCAGCAGAGTTAATTTTTCTTGATAATTCTACCTGAATGTAAATTAGGGAGGTCAATAGGTCAGGAACTAAGGAGGCCTAATATGCATGCAAATCTTGTGGACATGAGAGGAGATAACTCTTTTCTGACCTAGCTGGTTTCTTAAGTGAGAAAAGCTTCTAATATCAAGATAAGCCTGTTTCTAAGGAAAACAGGAAAAAAAGTTTGTTTCTGTTATTTATTTTTATTAATAACATACCAGGTAATTTCCATCTTTTTTACTTTCAAAAATAGTACAAATATCTAACCACCAATATATGGTCTGTGACTTAATTCTGCCCTTGCATATGTGTCAAAATTTAACTTAATTTGCTTTGCTATCACACAGAGCTAGTGCAAAATAATTAAATGCACAGTAAATTACTGTAAATGTATTATATATAGCATGTACAATATTTGGCGGACATTGAATTTTGAACAAGTTGGCATCAATTTGATTTAGCGCATATCTTAATGTTCTTCTTTATAGATATATGTAAATGTCTGAGATATCTAGCATTATACTTGAATTACCGGTAGCGGATATTGCTTTCCAAGAATACACAGCCAAATGTAAGGTGATCAAAGTAATTTGAACTCTACTAATTTACGCTTAACTCTCTATGTTAACGTGCTTAAAATTCAATTCGTAGTTACTTAATTGTTTAATTAATTTATTCTGTAAGAACAGCATATAAATTACCTGCTACAGATAGGATAACTTCACCCTCATCATCAATATCAGCACTCTGTAGTGGTGCTATGTCTGCCCAATGAAACCTAATTTTCACCTGTCTGTCATGTAAGGCGTTGACTGTGTGCATACTCTCATCACATGTGTTGCATAATGTGGCAGCACACTGTTGACACCTTTTGATAAAGATTTATATTACCTTAAATATATATAAAAGATTAAAAATAATATACATTTTAAGAAATATTGATCTTAAATAAATTAAAATAATAACAATAATGCAACACCTAATGTGTTTAAGACATACAGTCATTAAGAATTATACAGTCAGCACAGGCATAAAATGACACACTGGTAATTAGTTTAAGTCAAGGTCAATAGACATAATTTGCATACCTTATTAAGCATACAGTCTGATTTTGGCATTTTGAGCATTCATTCAGAGGATTTGAAAATTTGGTTTTGACCTCTGCCTCAAACAAACACTGTCTTAAATTTGCCCAGTTCTCCATTTCTCTCTGTTTTCTTTTTTCCCAAGTGGTTCTGTTGTCAGGTGCTGTTGCACACTTCTTTAGCTGTTCAATTTTGATTTTCAATTCATCAACTAAAAAATCATAGCATGTTAATAAATAAAACTGTTATTTTTAATACAAATATATTTAAAGTGGTCAAAGGGCATAAAATGTTCTCTTTTAGGCACAAAATAAGAATAAAATGATTGTTTGTTGATTTGCAGTTATCTAAAAACCTATTAAAAACCAATGTACTTCATTTTTTTCAACTTTTTTGTGAATTGATGGAAAATGGGAAATTGATAATTTTCAATATTTATCTTGGAGTTGGATTCTCAAAATGGTGGTTAAATAACAATCAATCAATCAAATAGTGAAATCCATAAAGAAAACTACAACATACTATAAAATCACTATTTTATAGGGGTCAAATTTTCGAGGTTTGAGGAAAAATCATTAGTTCATTTGAATTTGATTTTACAGTAGAATAATTGTACAGTAGTAGCATTTCATGGTAGAAATTAAACCCTCGTGAAAATTAGTGATTTCACTGTATATATATTACACATGTATTATTTGAAATACATACCGGATTTCAATACTTTGGCATCAATTGTGGATGACACACCATCATGCTGAACTAAAGGTTCCACATTGACACTCACACCACCCTCTTCTGTAAGCCATAATTACAATTATCAAAATTATGAGTTATAACAATTTATTTATAGATAATTATAAAAAAAATTACCTTGAGATCTTCGATTTATTGATCAACAAGATGTGTTTGTGAAACACTGTGCCCCCGGCGGCAACAAAGTTCGAAAAAGCTATTGTTAGCATAAAGGTTTCAGTCAAGGTCACAAGGTCATTGACCTCGGTGTCGTTTGAAAGCACTTAATTAGTGAAGTAGGCATACCTAAACCAAACATTCACAGTCAGTTTAGGTCACAAGGTCCATCATGACTATTAGGAAGTGGGGAATACCTAGAGAAGAGAAGAAAATTTTTGACAAGGCACAGTATTTTCAATTTCGATAAGCACCAAATCTCAACCCTAGTGAAGTGAAACAGGCAGTATACTATATAATCTCAGAGGACGCCCTAGCACTATATCCTGACCCTGGGGAAAAAATTCAAAAGTTTTTCTTAAATAGTGTGAACTCTTGCTCATCATAATTATGTCTTATTTAGTTTATTTGAATGGAGCAGATAATGCAGATATTAAACGAATTCATGTATTTTTTATATAATCTAGGGTGCCTTAACGTTTCTGCATAATTGTGTTAAAGTGCTTCCATAAAATTCATCAATTTTGGTAAAAATTTTTGCTCATTTTATTATCACTTAGTTAGTTTATTAATTAAAAAGATGTTAAAATAATTCACTATATAATCAAAAGCTTAACAGCAATAAACTTGATCCTACATAGTTAGAGGCACTCTTCTATCATAACTATTCTTTAGTTAAATTTATACCCAGGAGCAGAGAAGAAGATTTTCATAAGAATTCATGTATTTTCACTATATAATCAATAAGAGCCCCGCCCAAAAGGTTTGTCCTTGGCCATAAAGTTGAAATTTAATTAGTGGAGTCTATGCTTTTATATATGGTAGTTAATTTAAAAATATGGCTAAAGTTAAAGTTGATAACAAATAGAACAAGCATTCTGAGAGTATTGCATAAGCACCCTTACACTAGAACCCCTACCGGGTTCCCATAAAATTTTCAATTCTGGACCAAAAGTGTTTTGAAGAACATTTTCATAGAAAATGCATTAAAACTAATAAAATAAGCCCCGCCCTAGCATTCCAGGGCCATGAATTTCACAATTTTGGTAGAGGACTCATTGCTGATTACAATCATGCAAACAGTTTGACTGCTTGATGCCCAATTAATAAAGAAGAAAATTTTTAAAATGCATTAATTTTAGTGGTGGCCCCAAAAATCAGGCCCCTGGGGGGCAGGGATCATGAAATTAATAATTTTTGTTCCCCTTCACCCATAGATGCTTTGTGCCAAAACACACTTGGTTCAGTGGTTGCAGAGAAGAAGCTCAATATCTGCAAGCATTACCGCATTGAGCGACGGAAAAAACGGAAACCAATAGGTCACCTGAGTGTACTCAGGTGACAGCAAAAATGCGGTGTATGTCCACACAACAATGTGAAAGTGAAGTTGAAATGGCCTAAGCTGGTCGTAGTAAACAAAAGTTCTGTTTTCACACTGTATGACTTCACACTTAAAACCTTTATATTTACCGCCCGAAAAACCTACAAAGCGTACCTGAATTCCTTTAATTCGTTAGAAATCGGTAGATTTTCAACAACACCACAAAATTATCTTAGGGTTTATCCAGAAAAATCAATGGAACCAGAACCAGAAGTGCTGTTCCTCAATGTCAAACTGGAGAAGTAAGGGATAAGTGTAAGAAGACGTTATGTAACTATTATTGATAAGGCACAGACAATTTCGATAAGCCCTCTTGTCTTCCAAATCCAACCCTAAATAGCATGTATGGAAGCAGGTCCGGAGTGTGAAACAGCTTTCCCAGCAGCAGTATCTAGCGGAACTAGAGGACGACCTAGTATCCACATGGAAAAACATTCAATGAAATAGTTTTTCTTAAATAGTGTGAACTCTTTGAGGAACGGTTGTCTTGATTTGAATTGCTTTTGCATGGAGAATAATGCAGTATTAAACGTTGTGAATTTTTAATTCTAGGGTGCCTTAACGTTTCTGCATACTTAAAGTGCTTCAATAAAATAAATATGAGGAAAAATTATTTTGCTATTTTATTATCCTGTATACTTAAGAAGTAATACTGTTAAAATTAATTCAATTTAAAAGCGGTATGTGCAAAAACTTGCCTGGGGACTTAGAAATTTTTAGTATATAGTCTATCTCCTATTGTTTAAAAGTTATGTGAAAGTTCTAGAAAATCTAATTTTAGCAAATCAGGTCAAAAGGTCATTGTCCTTGGTGTCAGTTGAAAGTGCTTAATTAGTAGTCATGCATTTTATATATGAAGTCTCTATCTTGATCTGTTCAAAAGTTATGGCTAAAGTTAAAGTTGATAACAAATAGAACAAGCATTCTGAGAGTATTGCATAAGCAATACATGCATTCCCCTTTTTCTTCTGGTAATGTCATTTTATAAATGAAAAGTCATGTCCAAGGTAAAACTAAAAGATTTTCAAGTTGTAAATGCCTTGAAAACTAATAAAATAATCCACATTAAGATGAAAATTCAACTCATTTCATATTTTACCTCGCTTCATATTTTTGTCGACAATCGGAAGTTAGCGCAGTTAGAATCTGATCTCAATTAAGCGATTATGAAAAAATATTCAAAATTGCCCTAATGTCAAAAATCAATGAAGCAAAGCAAAATTCAAACTTGATCTGTAACTCATTAAGACACACTCACATACCAAAATTCAGCTCAATATCTGCAAGCATTTAGAAAAAAAAGTGTGGAAAACCAAGTGGGACAGACTTCACAGACAGCTAGACAAAAAAAAAATTATGATTCCGGTAGGGGACTCCATAAATATCAAATGAGGTCAAGGTCAAGAGGTCAAATTTGGTGGTACCCAAAGAAAGGTTATGTCACAAGTAACACACCTATGAATTATGAAAGCCATAGCCCCTACCACTCAATAGTTATGGGCTAGGTTAAAGTTGGGGGACAAACAGACAGACAGACAGACAGGCAGGACAAAAACAATATACCCCCGATCTTTCGAGGGGGCATTTTCCAGAATTAATTTCCAGATTTCTTTTTCATCAAACATAGTTTTAGAAGAGGTGTACAAATCCATATAAACATTCAAAGTATTGTACCCAGGTCCTTCATTAAGTGAAACTCTGAAACTCCAGGGAAGATCCTAATAAAGTTCAAACTATCGGTATGTTGCGTATGACCTTTAGAGAACTGAATTTTTATTCTGCATAATGCAGTCAGGCGATATTGATCGATATTGCTTTTGCATTGAAATAGATCTAAATGTATGTCAAACTTGATATATTTTTTATTCTGTCAGCTACTTAAACTTCCTAAATATAAATTATTGTTAATTATTTAAAAGAAGACCTAAATTTTTATAAAAAGCATCTACCGGGTATGTGCAACATCATGTCAAGGTCAGTCAATCCCTTTTAGTGGTTAGTGGTTCTATTGATTTTTGTCATCCTTTTTATCAAATGCAAGATTTCATGATAATTAATAATTGAATCTAATCATATGTCATCTGTAAGTCTGTTGGTCTGCTCATCTGTCACAAAAGCTTAAAACCTTGGTCACAACTTTTGAATGAGATGAGATAGGGCTTTCGACATGTTCAGATTATACATGCATTCCCTGTGGTAATTCCTTTCATAATGAACTAGTACATGTAACTATGTTTTTAACTAATAATGATTTTTGACCATGGTACCTTGACCTTCAAGTATGACCTACTTTTCAAAAATCCTTTTGACTTTTGATTGAAAAGAGATAGGGTTTCATATTTTACATGTGCATTATCTGTGACATGATATTTCTGTGCATGCTATATCTGACACCTTAATATTTACCTTCATGTTTGACCTAATTCAAAAAAGTGGTGCTACATTACATTTTAATGACATATGATAGGTCTTTCATATTTCACAAAATATGTCGTATATGCTATCATGGCTTTTATAACAACATTTCACCAAATATGAATAATTCACATGATACAGAAAAAAAAAATTATGATTCCATAAGGTACTTCCATAAATATCATATGATTGGTTCTTTGATTTTGACGTTATAATTTTTGGTTCACATTTTTTTAAAAAGAAAGATAGAGATTTTACATCTATACCACTGCAGCAGTTGATCAGATCCACCCTTGTGAGTACCCATAAAAGAACATAAATCCCCCTCCCCCCATTTAGGGCTTCATTTTTTAATTTATTCCAAATGTCATGCCAAAACATATTCCTCCTCCCTTGGGTAAGACAAAAAACTTTTATTAGTATCCATAAAAATACACTGAACTTGAACTTGATTAACCTTAGACAGGCACAATGTGACATTAAAATCTAACTGATATGTGACATCCTAGCAGACAAAGTTGCAACTTGTGGGAAAAAGCTATCCATGCTAAAACATATTCCTCCTCCCTTGGGTAAGACAAAAAACTAATAAACGTTATAAAAAAAAATTGACCATGTTTACATCCCTGTTTAAAAAATCTTCAGTCTCTCTGTGGTAATATCTACCTGTCTACCACATAGAGATCCTTGATTCCATTTTGCAAGAAATAACCCCAATCAAATTCATAGCATGCACAGTGTAATGGGCTAGTAACAGCTGAGTAATATACAGGTCCAGTACTGGACCTGATATACTTACATCACTCCAGTCTCGTACACATATTCATTTCTTCAGACACTGACAGCAGAATTCCAATGGAACTTTTGGGGATGATGTTAATGGAGTAATTCACACACGCTAAATCAATCAAACTGATTTAAAAACCTGCGTGAATTAACCCTTGTTAAAATAAAGTTTAGTTTTAAAACTTCTTACTTCCATCATCATGACGGTGGTCTTCTTACAAAGCGCTCATTTGATTTTGACAAAGTGTGGACTAAAAGGCCGAATTGACTTTGACCTAGTGTTCACTAAAAGGCCGAAAAGATGATAACCCAACTGCAGTAGATTTATTATTTTTCTAATTGGAATTTTCAAATCTACTTATATCAACTGTATATTAACTGCTCAATCTGGTCTTGTTCTAATTAATTTTTTTTCTCATAATTAATTTACTGTTACAAGGATATGTAAGATACCAACATTACTCAGTTTTCTATAAAAAATATTCATTGAAATACAGCTAAATCCCCCCTCCTCTACCAAGTTAATACTATGGTAAAGTAATATAAAGAAAATGCAGTATATTATACCCCAAAATGGTACAGTAAGAAGTCGGCATAAGAAAAAGTTGCCCCCCCCCCTCAAAATAGCATTTCCGAATATAGAAACTTTTTTTTATTTTGTGCTTATCAACTTCTCCAGGCCAAATAATTAAAAAAAAAAAAAAAACAATCGTCTGGCTCCCCCTTTTAAAAACGATGCTACGTGCCTGAATCATCAGTTGATTTATTTTTCATTTCCATTTTTTTTTTTAATTGAAAGAATTAACTATCAATTAATAAAAGTTTTGTGTTGACAGTTGTGCCAGATGGTATAACAACATGCTATATTGCTATACAATAAAATAAATTTTATACATTTTATTTTATAATTTTAATTTTATTTTTATTCCACATTGCAAATGCATGGACATCGCGTACTAGGTATGATAGATCGAGGAGGCACATTATTCAATCGGCGCACAGAGCATGGTCGAACCACTCTATACACAGAGGATTGAAAATCTATTGTAAGATTCACCCTCAGGGCTGTATTCCGAGGGGTACACATACACGCACATGTGTATATTACAGGATTCGGATCCACACCTACATACTGACACCTGCCATTTCTTATTTATTGCATAACAATAGGCGTCTAGTCCCGTCTTCGAGCAATGTCTACATGTACAAGTTTCAAAATGTTTATTTCAGATTTTAAAATTATATATGGTTCATCATTTCTACCTCATCTGAGGAAGTATATAAAAGATTGCAAGCGTGTTTAATTTTTTTTAAAATTTTTTATTAACAATTAATTTGTTAAATTTTTTTTTTCATTTAAAGTTTTAAAATATTCTTATTAAGATCTGCTTTTGAAGGAATATAATGATTTATTAAACATCTTTTTTTCCTTATAGGTTTTTGAACTCTGAACATATTTTATTTCAAATGTCAGTTTGTTCAGCATTAACATACTAAGACATATCTATGGAAAGGGGGGGGGGGGGGGCTAGCCCCCCCCCTCCCAGATTTTTTCCCAATATATACTTACATATGTAGTATACATTGAACATATCTTCGTAATTTTAGCCCCCCCCCCCCCACTTTCCATAGATATGTCTTAGTATAGGTTAAAATTGGTAAAAGTGTTGGTGTTTGGAAGAAAATTTCATGGTACTAGACTTCAAACCTCCCCCCCCCCCCCTCCAAGAAATAGGATTTTTGTGTTTGGGAAATAGACATTTCCTTTTTTTTTTTTTTTTTGCTTGTCAGGTTTTTTTGGTGGTACAAAAAAATTTTTTCTTACACTTAGCCCCCCCCCCCCCCCCACTTTCAATTTGCTTCCGACGCCAATGATTAAAAAATGTCAGTTTGTTCAGAAGTAAAAAAGAATAAGTGATGGTAGTGGAAAATCTACATCTGGAGCGTGTAGATATTTTTTCTCGGGAGTTAGCAAAAGAAGGATGAAAAGGTTTAACTCCAAACTCTATAGTTGCTGTAATATTAATCAAACATAATGTGAGATTATGAAAATAAATAAAACCAATAATTTTGATAAAATTTCCGTGAATTCCAACTCGGATGAAAAATAACATAAAAAAATTCACGTTCAGTTTAAGTTAATACGTGGTCAATATTAATTTTCGAAGTAAGGTCTTTTGCCATTTACGGAAAAAAAACCTATTAAAGGTTGTCTAAAAGTTTATGGGAAAATAAATGATACACAAAATAAATGTTTTAATTCTTGCTTTCAAAATGTCTCATATCCGATCTAGTCTTCTTATACTATAAGATCCGCTTTGCAGAGTTATGTCCCTTTCTAGGATCGAAGATGAAGATTTGAAAATTTATACATATGATCATTTCATTACCTAGAATCATTTTTTAAACTAAACAATAATAGCTAATGTATTTTTTTATTTTACAATACGTAAGACGATAACTTTTTCTTTGAAAGTTTATTATAGAAAAATAACAATTTATAGATTATTGATTTAAATTATCTAAAGTAAGTAAAGCTGTCCCCGGGGAACTCTTGGTTTATAAGGAATGTAATATTTTTAATGTGTATGTGTGTTTCTCCTCTTGTTTAAGGTTATACTGCTTTAAAAAGAGAGAGAGAGAGAGAGACAAGAAAGGTTATAATGCTTGTTTAATTCAAGTCCCTCAAAAGCACAGTTTAATCTTCAAATTGAATTATCTACGTGGCGATGGGAATTTCAGAATACACAATTACTAAAAATTTCAGTTATCAGTAATAGTGTAATTGGATTAATTGATATTGAAAGTAAAGAAGAGCAAAAGTACACAAAAGTACACAGTACACCATCTACAGTCGCCAAATAACGGAAAGCAAAAATAATATTCCTTATACATTTTCTAGTAATTCAGTAAACAACAACAACAACTAAAGAGACCCCCGAAGTTTCAATTACGCTGCGAATATTATGGAACAAAATTTTAGAATTTATATTAAACCCTATCCCATCCAAAAAGAAAACAGAAAAGGCTTTTAGAGGCCTGATTATTACAGTATGCATTTTACTTGATCTTTCTAGAATGATTAAAAAATAACAATGATGTCATCTTTTCAAATAAAGTGTTTAGTTGCTTTTTCCCGACCGACTGACAATTTTCATTAAAATGACCCAAATCAAAACTTTTTAAATTCCCGGTCGTGTGCGATGTTTTCTCTCTCTCTCATACCGCTTATGCAATAATTTTATACTGTGTCAAGAGAGAGAAAAAGAGAGAGGGGGGAAGCCATTGATAGTCTGACCACTGAATGCTTACATGCAAAGCAGTACCCAATTGATTTAATTGCAGGACTGTTGAATCTTGAAAAGCAGTCTTAATTAAAATCCCTTTTATAAGTGTTGTTATGAAAGAGATGATTTGCAGATGGGTTTTCAATTAATTAATTCTAAAAAATCTTTTTAACTTTGTACAAGAGCAATCAACCTGAAATCAGTGAATTTCACACCTTAAATTTCACACCTTTGTAAATATATTGAAATTTTGCCCGAAGGAAGGTTCTCATACCTTTCAGAGTTTAAGTCTATACGATGATATACACATATATTCCAGAATTCATCTCCACACTGCATGACTGATCATTACACGTGCCGTTTCCTGTTTATTTAATCCAATTGTGTATGTACATACCCTGGTATCTTGTTTCAGAGTAACTACTCTCAAAATTATTTTCAAAAGTTTTCCAAGTAAAGAGCACATTTCAAAGTGTTGATTGATGAACATACATAAAATATTAATTATCATTATTAATAGATACTATTTTTTGAAATTTTATTAATTGATAATTATATTGACAAGTATAATTACCAATGGAAACAGTCATGAAAATTATATCTTTTAAGTGAAAAATTCAACATATTTGGATGTGAGCAGAGATCTAGTAATATCTGGTATTTATGTCCCTGATGTAAGACTCATTCAAAAATCTGTTGCAACTTATTTCAATAACCATGATAACTAAGAATTCATACATGTATAATATATTTTTCAATATCTTCTTATATTTGGAGAATCCATCATTAGATTATACACAGTCAATGGTGTATTCTCTTAAATGGTCATATCTTTTCCCTCTCACAATGAAATTTGGCAAGTATGGTTTTATATTTCTTACAATGGTATAAGCTCTCTAAATCTTACATGATAAATTGTAAGAGATCTGAAATTTACATGGGGAGAATCCATCACCAGGCTATATGCTGAGTCATGCAGTCATACCGGTGTGTTTATGCAGTTACCTTAAATGGCCAAAACTTTTTCCTTTTTCACTGAAATTTGATAAGTATAGTTTTATTTATCTTAAAATGGCATAAACTTTATAAATCTTACATGATAAATTGTAAGAGAACTGAAATCTACTCTTAAATGGTAATAACTTTTTCATTTTTCATTTTTCAATGAAATTTGGCAAGTATGGTTTTATTTTTCTTGCAATGGCATGAACTTTGTAAATCTTACATGATAAATTGTTAGAGAACTGAAATTTACACATTTACCAGGCTATATATATTCAGTCAGTCATACCAGGCTATATGCAGTCATGCAGTCATACCTGTGTGTTCAGTTCTCTTAAATGGCCAAAACTTTTTCCTTTTTCACTGAAATTTGGTAAGTATAGTTTTATATTTCTTAAAATGGCTTAAACTTTATAAATCTTACATGATATATTGTAAGAGAACTGAAATTTACAAAGGGAGAATCCATCACCAGGCTAAATTCAGTCAGTCGTACCAGGGTGTGTTCTCTTAAATGGTAATAACTTTTTCATTTTTCACTGAAATTTGGCAAGTTTGGTTTTATTTTTCTTGCAATGGCATCAATTTTGCAAATCTTGCAAGATAAGCGGTAAGAGAACTGAAATTTACATAGGGAGAATCAATCACCAGGCTATATGCAGTCATGCAGTCATACCGGTGTGTTCAGTTCCCTTAAATGGCCAAAACTTTTTCCTTTTTCACTGAAATTTGGTAAGTATAGTTTTATATTTCTTAAAATGGCTTAAACTTTATAAATCTTACATGATAAATTGTAAGAGATCTGAAATTTACAAAGGGAGAATCCATCACCAGGCTAAATTCAGTCATTCGTACCAGGGTGTGTTCTCTTAAATGGTAATAACTTTTTCATTTTTCAATGAAATTTGGCAAGTATGGTTTTATTTATCTTAAAATGGCTTAAACTTTATAAATCTTACATGATAAATTGTAAGAGAACTGAAATTTACAAAGGGAGAATCCATCACCAGGCTATATTCAATCAGTCGTACCGGGGTGTGTTCTCTTAAATGGTTATAACTTTTTCATTTTTCAATGAAATTTGGCAAGTATGGTTTTATTTTTCTTACAATGGCATGAACTTTGTAAATCTTACATGATAAATTGTAAGAGAACTGAAATTTACAAAGGGATCGAGAATCCATCACCAGGCTAAATTCAGTCAGTCGTACCAGGGTGTGTTCTCTTAAACGGAAATAACTTGTTCATTTTTCACTGAAATTTGGCAAGTTTGGTTTTATTTTTCTTGCAATGGCATCAATTTTGCAAATCTTGCAAGATAAGCGGTAAGAGAACTGAAATTTACATAGGGAGAATCAATCACCAGGCTATATGCTGAGTCATGCAGTCATACCGGTGTGTTCAGTTCCCTTAAATGGCCAAAACTTTTTCCTTTTTCACTGAAATTTGGTAAGTATAGTTTTATATTTCTTAAAATGGCTTAAACTTTATAAATCTTACATGATAAATTGTAAGAGAACTGAAATTTACAAAGGGAGAATTCATCACCAGGCTAAATTCAGTCAGTCGTACCAGGGTGTGTTCTCTTAAATGGTAATAACTTTTTCATTTTTCAATGAAATTTGGCAAGTATGGTTTTATTTATCTCAGAATGGCATAAACTTTATAAATCTTACATGATAAATTGTAAGAGAACTGAAATTTACAAGGGAGAATCCATCACCAGGCTAAATTCAGTCAGTCGTACCAGGGTGTGTTCTCTTAAATGGTAATAACTTTTTCATTTTTCACTGAAATTTGGCGAGTATGGTTTTATTTTTCTTACAATGGCATGAATTCGAACTTTGTAAATCTTAC